CGTTAAAGAAGGATTGACAACACTTCTAATATTTTATTAAAAGAAAATTTGAATTCAATGCGAAAAAGGAAATACAAGAAATCAAAACTACAGAGAAATGTGTGATTCTTTTTCAAACTATTTCTTCAAATTCCCATAAAATTTGGCATATTAATTTTCTTTACCAATAATGATAAAATGTTTTTTTGAATAATGATGAAATTTAAAAAATGATATTTTAATATTAGATAGGAATTCGTGTAAAAAATAAATATTACATGAAAATATTATTTTTTAAAAAATATTTTATAAAAGTTGTAAGTTTCATACAATATAGAGAGTAAAACATAAAATTATTGTTAAAACTTTATTATCATTGATCAAGAAGAAATACATTTGACAATAGTTTATGAGACAAAGATTTTAGTAGTATAAAATTTTAGAATATGATGAGGATATATTTACTCGGACTATTACCAAAAATAATACTAAAAGTAAGCTATGTACAAAAACAAGACGAGTTTTAAAAATTTTCATATGCACCTGATATGCACACATCATGAGTGCATAAGCTATAAAGCACGGGTCGTATCTGAAACCCGTACCATAATTTCTAGGATGGTATCTGCAATTTATCAAAAGCTTTCAACTTTTATGATAATTATTTTAAAATTTCAGATGCCTATTTCCTGACGGATACACGTATCAACTTTTTTATATAATAAAACACCCAAAATTCACATAATAAATTTTTAAAAAAAATTTAAAACTAAAAATAAATTACATAACCAAGTATATGGAAGACAAGTAAAATATGGGAGGTTGGTGGAGATGACTTGGGAGTATGGAGATGATATTGAGTTGGAGTTCGCCAACTTTTCCATAGATGAACCACAATGGGAGGCTATCTTTTTGAAAGATGATGTTATTCGTTGAAATATGTACAATAATTTTTAGATTTTCATTCGACTATTGTTTTCTATCTCCATTTTTCAAGAACTTTGCGTGCTTGAACTTTTAATTTCAAATTTCTGATTAGTTGACTCGTTTCACATTTTAAATATATGACTTATTGACTATATTTATATTTCGAGATGTACTAGTGTATATAATACAAAGAATGAATTTATTTTTAAGTATCTTGATAATGTGAAATGTTTCGATGCCATGAACGGGCAGAGGTCAGAGAATAATATGTGTACATATTTTCAAAAAAAAAATGGAATTTTAGATATTTATAAACACACCCCCATAATTTTTAATATTTATAAATACAGCACATAACTTTTAATATTTATAAATATGCCCCATATTCGTATCCTACTTTTTTGGTTTTGTCATATCCATGTACCCATTTCCGCGTTTGATATGCACTAATTAGTAGTGCATAAATGTGTGTTATTTATGTTTGATTTGTGTGGATTGTTTACCATTTTATTTAGTTTGTAAACATTTGTGTGATTTTAGTTGTAATTGTATTTTAGTCTTCATTTGTAAGTTGTAAAGTAGAGTTAGGATTTGTGGTGTTGGAAAAGAGAACTTTGAAGTGAAGAAAAATGAGATTTGACTGCCCATGAGCAAATACCCGACTGGGTATAACCCTTCACTCGGTCGGGTAAGAAGTGAAAACCGAACTTGGAAGGAAATTGCATGGCCCAATCAGGTCCACTACCTCACCCGGTCGGGTGAGACTTGACCGGAGGCAATCCGGCGTGCTAAAACACAAGAACGTGGGAAATTATCTGATTTTGACTGGTACCTGGTCGGGTGAGCACCTTACCCGGTCGGGTACCCCGTCAAAGGTGTTGAAAAACATCTACAAATAACACACTTTGTCTTCTCTAAATTCCACCTCTTCTTCCATATACTTAAGCTCAACTTAGAATAGTATTTTCTTTATATTTTTCTAGCATGTTTAGTCTCCAAATGAGGAGCTAAACTTCTGTTTCTTGGTTTTGCTCTTGAAACTTGTTGAATGTTAAAGTTGTGAGTTATTTTCTTACTTCTTCCCTCGAATATTATTTCTTCCCTTATTCTATCTCTATATTAATGTTGGGGAGTGTTGCTAAGATGACAATTAGTTAACATCTTGACATTAATTACTACTAGAAACGATTAATGAACCGATGGTTAATCATTGATGGTTTCACAAGTAAGTAACTTCGGGTTATTAATGCACGGTCATGGTTAATAATCTTAAAAGAGATTAATTGTGTTGGTTAAACCGAAACCGTTGTGTTGACGTTATCGATCTGAATTGTTTTCATCAAGGAGTTAAGAGATTAAAAGCTACTATCAAGTCAGTATATGGCGGTGTTCTATACTTGGCTAATAGTAAGAGTTATTAATGAACGGTCGTTGTTAATAACTACCGTCGATGAATTGGAGATACTCCTCGATTGAGTATTCGAGAGGTGATAAGTTATAGATATAACCAGGATCAACAAACATATCAACAAATGGAAAGTAACAAAGCCAAGTGTTTTATCTCATTAATTAAAATCGTATAAGTCATTCATCTTAGTGTTTATTTAATTAAATCAAATCAACCTTAGAAACCTCCCTTTTAATTACTAGTTTCATAAAAGAAAAGTATTCATTTCCCTGTGGATATGAACTTTACTACACTATACTACGTATAAGTGTTAAATATTGAATTTATTTTGACGCACTACGACAAAGTGCTCGTTAGCGTTCCCGGGTTGTCGTGCACTCGTATCAGTGCTAGATAGTACATAAGTATTTGTTTTTATGTTTAATTTATGATACGTTGTTACTTAGTTCATAGATTTATGATGTTTTCGTTTCATGCTCTCCATTTGTGTGTAAAACATCATTTTAAGCTTGTAAAATAGGAGTACATGGTTTTGTATTTGATAAGGATGAACTTGGAAGGCAACAGAATAAGGAAAGACTGATTTCGTGCAATACATGGTCGGGTATGAAGAGAAAATTGAAGGTGCTGCGAAGTTACACTCATACCTGATCGAGTATGTACATTTATCCGGTTCGGTATGACATGACCTGGGTAAACATACATGCTGAAGAACACAAAGACCTGAAAAATATTTGATTTTGACCGATACCCGATCAGGTATGTACGGTTTATACGGTTCATACGGACCATTCGGACCATACAGATTAAGGAAACAAAATAAAGAGAAAGATAATTTCCATATATTACTAGCATATGTGTTCCCGCTCGTTGGGTTGGTGGGCCGTGCCGCTTTAATGGGTCGAGTATCTCGCGCACCACACTCAAAACACCTATAAATAACACACTTTTCCTTCACATTTATCATCCCTTCTTCCATAAAGAACTTAGAATAGTAAGTTCTTTATATTTTTCTAGCATGTTTAGTCTCCAAATGAGGTTTTGCTCTATAGCTTGTTGAATGTTTAAGTTGTGAGTTATTTCTTAACTTCTCCTCTTGATTATTAATTTTTCCCTTAATCTTATCTCTATATTAATGTTGGGGTGTTTCTAAGTGACGATTAGTTAACGTTTCAACATTAATTACTACTAGAAATGATCAATGAATTGATGGTTAATCATTGATGATTTCACAAGTAAGTAACTTCGGGTTATTAATGCATGGTCTCATGGTGAATAATATTAAGTGGGATTAATTGTGTTGGTTAATTCAAAACCGTGGTGTTGAAGTTATCAATCTCAATTGATTTCATCAAGTAGTTAAAGAGATTAAATGCTACTATTTAGTTTATATATGACAGTGTTCTATATTTGGCTAATAGTAAGAGTTGTTAATGAACAGTCTCGTTATTAATAACTACCCTCGATGAATTGGATATACTCCTCGATTGAGTATTCAAGAGGAGATAAGTTAAAGGTTTAATCAGGATCAACAAACATATCAACAATTGGAAAGTAGTAAAATCAAGTCTTTAATCTAAGGTGAACGACTTATATGATTTAGATTAATACGATTAAGGAATTTTATCAATTTAGGACCTGAATGATAGATGAATTATCAATTCAGGACCTGAATGATAGATGAATTATCAATTCGGGACCTGAAAGATGGAATGTACCGATAAAAGATCCGAACGATAGAAAACTATCAAATTAGGAGATGAATGATCGAACACTGTCAATCTAGAAGCTAAATATTATTGTCATGACTTTTATTATTCTTTTTATTTCAAAAATTATAAATATTATTTAGTTTTATTAAACCAATAAACTTCTGTGAAGAAAAGTTTATCAAAAATTAATAAAAAAATAAAATAAATCAAAACCTATGAAATGTCAAGTCCAAGATTGACAGTTTTCCATCATTCGGGTCATATACCGATACATTTCATCTTTCTAATCTCGAATTGATAATTCATCTACCTTTCATGTCTTGAATTGATAAAATACCTTTAATTTATTAAATCAAAAAAATCTTAAAACGATCCATTTTAGTTACAAGTTTCATAAAAGAGAAGTATTAATTTCCATGTGGATACGAACCATACTTCACTATACTTCGTATAAGTGTTAAGTATTGATATTAATTTGAGGCACACGACAAGTTTAGTGTCGTCAGCACCTGTTTTAAGACATTCCAATGTAAGGAGTAAAATAAGTTACATTCTAGTGTGCGAGTTATATTTTCCGTTAACCAATACTCGTTCCGTCCCGATTTGATTGTCCTACTTGCTGTTTTGAATTATCCCGAAATGAATGTCATGTTTCTTTTTTGGCAAGAAATATGTGATCCTTATCATTTCACTTTATTCTACTCAAATCTCAACCACAACTTTTACTTTTCAACCACTTTATTAATAAGTGTGCCAAATTTAAAAAAGACAACCAATATGAGCAGAGATTGTACTATATTATACTTCCTCCGTTCTCAATTACTTCGAGTTTTAGCAAGGAAAATGAGTAGAGTTCCTTAAATGCCCCTAATCAATATAGACCCACTTTAATTTTCAGACTATGTGTGTAGAACTGTATCTCACCCGCTCTCTTTATTTCTTCTACCTACCCCATCTCATAAAAAGTACCGGATCTTTCTTATTAATTTCTCTTCATCTACAATTTCTCAAAGCAGGGGAGGAAGGGTGGGCAACAGGTACCGGTGACCAGATGGCCGCGGTGATGGAATCGGGGATGGATTTAGGGGTTCCGGTTACCCCTTCTCCCCCTCGACATTTGACTTATCAAGTCACTGATTTAGTGGTTCCTGATACGCCTCCTCACACCCTTGATGCAAGAGAGATAAGCCATTCACGATCAATGAACTCAAGGAAAAAACTGAAGCTAGCGACAAAGAAGTCCCTTATGTCGCCTAAGAAGACATTTTACCATAAGACTTTCGGTTTTATGGAGGAATACCATATGAACTTCTATAAATGTTGTTGGCCAGATTACTTTCCGGATGAGGGTCTCCAAAAGCTAAACTATGTGTGCATATGAGCTTAATTTCTTAATTTTTAGGAAGAATATATTGGCACAACTTTGTTATTTATGTTTATGGTTATGAATGATTTTGATATTCTGTTTTTATTTGTTGTTGTGAATACTTTTGGGTTGACTATTGTCTTTGTATGTGTGATTATGTTTTGCACAGTACCTGTTTGTTGAATGTTTGTGTAAACAAATACAATACTTGGTGGCTTAAAATATATGTTTATGAAAAGTGAGTTAAAAAAGTTGGTAAGGAATGGATTTCAGTAAAAAAAAATACCAGGTGGCTCAAAATGTGTTGTTTTCATTTAAAGCTTATATTGAATTGATTTTTTTTGAACAAACTGCTATAGACCAAATTGTTTGAACTAATAACCAATTTTCTTTACTTCACGATGTATCCTAAGTAACAAGACCTTTTTGAGCACAATTTCATCAGCACTGCCACTTTTGTTTTTCACATTGTTTAACACTCTTCCAACACACGTCAGCTATACTTTTTATTGCTTACATTTACTAAAAGATTACATAAACCACTTAAAACATAAACAACTTCAACCAACACTTAAATACGAAGTAAAATGCTGCAACAACCTTTACTAATACATTGCTATATTAGGCCATACAAAATCAGTTTTACATTCTTCATTTACATCAACTTTTGCCTTTTCAAAATATGTACTATATGAACTAAAATCACCCTAAAATGAGACTGCCTAACTTAGGAAGTAACCCAAAATGACTCAAAAAGGGAAACCAATACCTAAGGCACCGACAAAAATAACCCAAAGTTATGGAATCCAAAGTTAGGCAGAAATCATGGTGACCCAAAAGCTAACAGATCGCATAGCCAGTAAGCAATGATCCAAATTGAGTGCAGATGACTAAGGTCACTAAGTTAGGCAGTGACTAAGGTGATCAAAAATGGAAAAAAATAACCTTAGGCACTGGCCAACAGAAACCAACCAGAAACATGGCCTAAATTGAACTTGCACCCAAACTTAATTCAATTTGACCCTCCATCAAGTAATGTCTCGTCTCCTCATGTAACTCCTCTGGAAGGTCAATTTGTATTGGCAGTACCCCCATGTTGTCTAATTTCTTTTTTCCTGCATGGGGATTCTTGTAGTTATTTTCGCCTTTTACTTTCAACACTTCTAGCATAACGTATTGAAGATGCAACCAAGCATTCCAGCCCAGCTGGTTGCGAGGTTGCCGTGTCTAGCGAGAGGTCTCGAGTTCGAAACCCGCTAGGCACATAAAGGGTTTGAAACTCAATGGAGTGGGTTTCAGCCCTGATTACTCCAGGCCCCCCTCCCCAAGACCCCCCTGGAGTAAAAAAAATAAATAAATAAAGTATTGAAGATGCAACCAAGTGTAGTTTAATAGCTTTGGATCGAAAGAATGATATGCATCTTCAACAGCCCTTACTAGCTCATTCACATCCCTAGGAAAAGCCTTGTACTTGATAGATTGAATAGCTCTAAAAAAAACCTAGATTGAGTACATTAAAATCTGACTTTGGGCAGGCTGACATGTCAATCTGATGTTGAATTCAATAGCAGTAGCAGACTCATTAAACTGTCCATCATGCACGCTTATATGAGGTCGTGCATTGTCTTGTTGAATCCATATGTCTTTGCATGCATTAGATGGCCAATTTTCCCTTATTGCCTGTAAAACAGAATAAATAAGTTTTGACCTTATAACTTCCTTTGTGAATGGCTTTTGTTTCTGGCGTGCCAGCAACTCTATTGGTTGAGTTCCTTTTTGCATAAACCACTTTAGTGAATGAGAAAATCCCAATTTTACCATCCCATATAACATGACCATCAACTGAAATATGTGGCCTACTCACAGCAGCGAAAAACATAATCTTCCCAATAAATTTTTTATTTTGGCAGCTTCTATATGGATCATCCTCCGAAGGAAATAGGTAAAATCTTTGTGTTTGTTGTGACATGTAGAACCATTTCTCATCGATATGAACCATACTATACGTTGAAATAAACATGGGAATTGTGTAAACTTCCCTTGGAAAAATCTGGTTCATGACATGTTGTAGCCTTTTTATCATGTGTGCATGAGTTAACTTAGGCTTAATGCTGTTTGTGTGAGCTCTAATCTGCCCCATTTTCATCATTTTATAAACACTTGAGTGACAGATTCCGAGAGCTATAGATAGGGACCTGATTGTTGTCCTTTGTTACAAAGGCACAACGTGAAGCCTTTCTAAATCAAACACCTTAGCTTTCCTTCCCACCTTTCCTTTTTTCTTATTTTTTTAGATTTGTTTTTGAACCACTGTTCATCTGTGTTTTGGCAGCAGACCAAAGTCTCCACACATTTGTTCTGTGGACTTTGTACTCTGCTGCAACTTTTGAAACAACTCCTTTTGGTAATGTTTTACCTTCAGCAAATGCCAGGAGATTTTCAACAATGTGTTTCCTTTGATTATTATGCAGTTCTATTCTTTTTCATCCTATTGATGTCCCACTTACAGTAGCATAAATAAAATCTACATTTTCTGAGTCTTGATCTTCTTCACTTTCACTTTCAGAGAAGAAGGAAGAGAAGATGACATCATCTACATCAAAATCAGCTTCACCAAACATGAGTTCCTCCTCCAGCTGAAGAAGTTCTGGAACTGTGATATCTTCAACCATTATGATGCTGAATCTGCAGTTACTTTTGTCCTACATCCATATGCTGCTGTTAATTTTTGCCCACCTTTGTCTTCTAAATGCAGTTCCTTGTAAATGCAGGGAAAGTAGTGCTAGAAGATTTTGGAGATGTAGTGCTATATGATGATATGATTGACTAGTTATAAAGTCCCGTATTGTACATTATTGGAGGGAAGCTTTTTGGTTTTTAACTTTTTTTGTGATTCCCTCTCAAATTTGGACGATGTAATGTGAAAAACAAATGGGTGGGTGTTACTTTATGTCACTGTCCTGTGCATAGTACGAAAGTACAATTTTCTTCCCTCTTTCTCTATTTCGGTCCAGCAAGGGCATTATAGAGAAAAATTTACTTTTGGCATTCTTCTTAATTCTTGTGTCCAACCCAATGTTGCAACTAATTGGAAACGGGGGATAGTACTTCGTATTTCATAGCAACGCGAGTTACATTTTAATACTCAAGACTTACATCATGGAAAAAATCAAAGCAAATATACGATCATTGTTCACACACATTTTTTAATTTAAGATTAAACTTGAATGATACTGTAATACCCGAGATTAATTTAAGAGGATTAATAGTACTACTCATACCAACAGAGGTGCATCTCCTTTTAAGGGAGCTCATCACCCAAGAACTCCAAAGTTAAGCGTGCTTGCATGGGAGTAGTTTTGGGATGGGTGACCCCCTGGGATGTTTCTCAGGGCGCGCATGAGTGAGGACAAAGTGCGCGGTAAAGGCTCGTGGTGGTTTGTGGGGACAGTACTAGAGGTCTAGAGTCACTACCTCGGGTCCGTGTGGGGCCCCGGGGTGTTACAAGTGGTATCAGAGCAACCCTGCGACAGTGTGCTGACCTGTTGGATATCGGGCGGTCACTTAGCGGGGCAAGATTCTGGGGGTTGATTGAGATTGGTTTAAGGGCGCAACGAGGACGTTGCGATCCTAAGTGGGGGTGATTGTAATACCCGAGATTAATTTAAGAGGATTAATAGTACTACTCATACCAACAGAGGTGCATCTCCTTTTAAGGGAGCTCATCACCCAAGAACTCCAAAGTTAAGCGTGCTTGCATGGGAGTAGTTTTGGGATGGGTGACCCCCTGGGATGTTTCTCAGGGCGCGCATGAGTGAGGACAAAGTGCGCGGTAAAGGCTCGTGGTGGTTTGTGGGGACAGTACTAGAGGTCTAGAGTAACTACCTCGGGTCCGTGTGGGGCCCCGGGGTGTTACAGATACCATGTGTGAAAATAGGATACTCACTGTGGGATGCTCCTCTCATCAATAACAATTGTACAAAACGGGTTTGGGGGAGAAAATTGTGGTAATTACCCGCATAGTCCACTTTTATGCATCGTATATCATTTATGTTTCAACTACTTTCTCTTTTCACTTTTAAGCTTTTTCGTTTCAAATTTTGTTTTTTATTTCACTTTTGGACAGGTTCTGGCGTTATGCTGACCTCCTATGTGTTCTAGTAATATGTGAGAGAGGGCAGGAGTTTCTTCGTGTTTCTCGTTGTCATGAAATAAGCTAGGAGAACTGACGGAGGGCCCGGAGATCAGCGTTACTTGTCTCTTATCGCCAATGGAGCTGATGGCATCGAGACCGGGAACAAAGAGTCGAGGCCTCCGTGTGTTTCCGTTGGAGTTAGGGAGTGGATCTTCCTCCGACGTGTAGGTGAGATCCTTTCCGATGCAGAACAAAATTAACCTTCAGATTAGGCATCATTTTCTTCCATTCCAAATCTACCTTCATCCAATCGATCTCAGTACGTAGTTTACCTTTGTCAATTAAACTCAAGCTCTGGTACTTTGGAGATAAACTCCAATGAATATTGTTGCATCGCGTCTTCTCCTGAGGATAATGAGAATTGAAGATAAACTGTTTGATGGTATCATGGATCATCACCATGGCCCAAAACAAATTGGAACAAAGCCCACTACACGGGAACAACCCAATAATCAGGATTAATAATTAATAACAGTCGCTGGGCCTAACTAGGAGCTCGACCCGCAAAAGGAACCCACAACCAGGCCGGCCTAGACAGCATACCTCGAGCCTGAGCGGGATTCTAGCGAGGTCAGACTCATCCTAAGGCCTATGTGGTAGGCTATCATTTGAGCATAGCTATCTGGCAACAGCAGGAAACTAATGGAAGAAACATGGACCTTGAGGATCAATGAACTGTCACTCTAGGTCTATAAATACTTCATGCACATACTCTAAAAGGGATCCTCTTCCTCAATAATAAAAATGTCTTACGCTGCCTAAATTTCATCTGCTCTCATAGATTAGCTCTCGTAGTTGAAATTAAATTCCATCGTTTGGTGCTCTCGTTGAGAGTTTGATCAAAATGAAGTGAAAATCCTCCCAAAATCACTCAAAAATTCATCCAAAAA